ATACAAGGACTATCTGCACTAGCCTTCCGTAAAGGTATACAAGGGTTATCTACACTAGCCTTCCACAAAGGTATACAAGGACTATCTGCACTAGCCTTCCGTAAAGGTATACAAGGGTTATCTACACTAGCCTTCCACAAAGGTATACAAGGACTATCTGCACTAGCCTTCCGTAAAGGTATACAAGGGTTATCTACACTAGCCTTCCACAAAGGTATACAAGGACTATCTGCACTAGCCTTACGTAAATGTATACAAGGACTATTTACACTAGCCTTACGAAATTTAAAGACTAAACAAAAGGCAGCTCGTCAATAGTATCCATTGCCAACTCTTGGACTTCTCTCAAGGCATTTAGATGCACGCGCTGGTCATTAATATGACGTCAAACCAATCTATTCTCTCAGAATATACTAGACGTCACTGGTGCCAAGCGTAGCAAGCCCTTTAGACAAGCAAGCTTTGAATTGGACAGGCTAATTACTAATTACAGGGAGAAAAATAACACAACGGCAAAATAAACCACTGAAACTTCAGCTGAATCTTAATAAAGCAATTATACGTTTCATCACGATTTTCCGTGGTGTAAGAAATATATAGAAATACATATTTCCATGCTTAAAGTTCAGATTATAAAATGTTCTTACTTTGACTTGCAAGAACAAAACTCGAGAAGTTATTTCATTAATCTTTCTCTGTTTGCTCTTGATGTCTCTTAGGTTTTAATTCATATTTCGAATACGAATACAGGAACAAACTTTCTCATCACTTTTGATGGATGTACTGAATACTTTCTGCATAATGTCTCCGTCATTTTGGTCACAAGCTGGAATTTATCCTGTAAAACATGGTATAATTGTGGAAAGTCATTTCCAAAGAATCCACAGTTCCTAGCCATTCAGGCGTCAGATAAGAAAGCCCATCTTTCGGCAATGTAACAGTCCAACTATACTGATCAGCAGGCACTTAGTTTCGGAGCGTCCCTTATGCTTTTAAAACCACCAACGTATCCTGCTACAACTTTTAAACTTTCAACTCGAACTTCAGTCTTTTAGTTGCCTTCCTATTCCATATCTCTTAAAATATTTTCCATAAGCCATCTGGAGGTAATCTTCTTCAATACAATCAGCATTAAACAAAACAGATACTTCTTTCATCCCAGCCTATTCAAACATTTCTGCTGACATAAGCTACTCTTCTACTTCATCATGACGAATAACTTAAATGGAGGATGTTCCTGGATGCTTTGATATAAGGAGAAGAGTTTATAGGCGGTTTTCAACGTGTGTTAGAAGAGGATGGGCGTGATATTGTCCAAATTTACTAATTTCTGAAAAAGTATACTTTCAAGACCGTTTTGGTTAATTCTATATATAATGACATGGTTTATTACCCTTTCTTTTCTCCGATATTCAAATATATTTTCAAACAATCAATTGATGCTAAGGTACCATCTTGAAAAGAAAGTTGCAATTTTTCCGAAAACATGTGTCATTTCCACCACATGATGTGCGTCATTTAGTATTTTATTTTCCATTGCCAACCAGCTCGAGAAAATCTATTTCGGTTTGTAATTCAGGAAAGAGATAGTGGGGAGTTATAGCGGTGCGATATGAAAATACCTGCACTGCCGTTCTAACGTTCTGTCTGCCACTACCATTAAATGTAAGATGCTTCCAAGAATGTCCTGCATTTTAAGTTTTCCATGGTCCTCTTTTAAAACCTCAAGGATAACTTTCTTTATAATGATTGCGTCACAAGGAAGAATCAATCCAGAATTCAAAATTTGCAGTTCCATGGTCAAGAGCTACTAATATAAAAAGGTAACTATATAACTAAAATACCACAAAATCAATAATTAGAAATGCTATCAATTAACTTATTTTAACTTATATCTTACTGCTTGAGTTAGAGAGGTTAGAACATAAAAATGCGGAATTACATACTTTGCCGAATTTCTGACTTTTCGTCACATAGTTCGTACATCATTTCCTCAGTACCTTGCGTCAAATTCTTGTAAATATTCCTTTGTGTCAGATCAAAACATCTTTCTATATACTTTCTAAAGCAGATGGTACTGTTTTTGAAGTTCCTGGACAAAAATAATGTCGGAAAAAAAACGACAACTCAGCATGGAAAATATCAATGTAGTTTTGTCAAGTTAGAAAAATAGGAGGAAGTGGTTTTGTAGAGAAAAATTGAAACATGAATATTTGATGTAATCACGATGTTAGGAAAACACGTAGGTTCAAAAAAATCAATTTAACACAAAAATAAAAAAACAAACTATACCCCGAGTACTTTCGAAAAGTGGACCTTTCTTCATCAGAGGCAAATGAAAAAGAAAACATTTTATTTATATCAATAAGTTTATAGACTAAGTTCATATCAATTGTTTGTTTTACTTTTGGTACAAAGCTTCAAAATGGGCTACCTGCATTGTGCCCGAATTTTTGAAATATGTATTTGAAAATGCAACAATTTTAGCTTCTTATATTTCTTATCCATAAAAATTATTTATATCATTTTCATATTTCAAAATTTCATAAGATTTAAGGGACAGCAGTAAGTTCACGGACTTAGAACACTACAATCCTAGAAGGGCATAGGAGATAGACCAATGTGGCTTTGCTCTAAAACAAACAAAATATGATTTAACTAATGGTAAGTTTGGTAATCTCTTGGTTTGGATTAGTTTGAATTTCGCGCAAAGCTATATATACATATATACTTAACTATATATACAAAGCTACACGAGGGCTATCTGCGCTAGCCGTCCCTAATTTAGCAGTGAAAAACTAGAGGAATGGTAGCTAGTCATCACCACCCACCGCCAACTCTTGGGCTACTCTTTTACCAACAAATAGTGGGATTGACTGTCATATTATAACGCCCCACGGCTGGAAGGGCGAGCATATTTGGTGGAACGGATATTCGAACCCGCGACCCTCAGATTACGAGTCAAGCGCCCTAACCACTTGGTGATAATTCCTTAATGACTTCAAACCGAATGTGACAAGCGGAGCAGATTTGTTCTTTAAAAATTACCTTAAATTAAGACAATATTCTATTTCACTTTAAAGCTGGCTTTCTGAAAAATTAGACTTTGGATGAACTGTTTAGCGGCGGTTGCTGTTCAGCACGAAACTACTTAATTTTGTCTGATCACTGCCTACACCAAGTGATATCTATTAATGTCTGGTAGTCAATAATCTTATTTGGTCACTGTCTACACCAAGTGATATCTGTTAATGCTTAGTAGTCAATAATCTTGTCTTATCACTGCCTACACCGAGTGATATCTGTTAATGTCTAGTAGTAAATAATCTTGTCTGATCACTGGCTACACCAAGTGATATCTGTTAATGTCTAGTAGTCAATAATCTTGTTTTGTCACTTTCAGAGAAGATTATTGACTATTAGACATTAACAGATATCACTTGGTGTAGGCAGTGATCAGACAAGATTATTGACTACCAGACATTAACAGATATCACTTGGTGTAGGCAGTAACTAAGCAACGTTATAGACTACTAGACATTAACAGATATCATTTGGTGTAGGCCTTGACCAAATAAGGATATTGACTACCAGACATTAACAGATATCACTTAGTGTAGGCAGTGACAAAACAAGATTATTGACTACTAGACATTAACATATATCACATGGTGTAGGTAGATAGCACTCTGTGTAGGCAGTGATTAATGTCTAGTAGTCAATAATCTTGTTTTGTCACTGCCCACACTAAGTGATCAGATTTAATGTCTAGTAGTCAATAATCTTGTCTGATCACTGCCTACACCGAGTGATATCTATTAATGTCTAGTAGTCAATAATCTTGTTTTGTCACTGCCTACACCAAGTGATATCTGTTAATGTCTGGTAGTCAATAATCTTGTCTGATCACTGCCTACACCAAGTGATATCTGTTAATGTCTGGTAGTCAATAATCTTGTCTGACCACTGCCTGCACCAAGTGATATCTGTTAATGTCCAGTAGCCAATAATCTTGTTTTGTCACTGCCCACACTAAGTGATATCTGTAAATTTCTAGTAGTCTATAATCTTGTTTGGTCATTGCCTGCACCGAGTGATATCTGTTAATGTCTAGTAGTCAATAATCTTGTTTTGTCACT